GAAGTAGTAGCTTGTACGCTTGGAGAAGATGAGGAGAATCGGAAGGTAAAGAGAGAGAAAATGCTAAGGAAAAAGGAGAGATCTGAGGGGGAAGACCATTTCTCACGCGGTTTTAGACAGTGTGAGAAAGTCTTTGCACTACTCTCGAACTCGGTCTTGACGGACTCATCAATGGCAAGTCCAACACTGAAAGAACGAAGAAAGAAGAAACCAGAAATAATGTAGATTCGCTTTTTCTTTTTGTTGTCTGAACGAAGACAATATAATTAATCAGTGGTTGAGTCTTGAAACCAGAAAGCCATGGGCCCCCACCGGCTTTCCCATCTAGAAAATAATTACCGATTCCGTAACCAGTAAGAGAAAGACAATTAGCGTTTTTCAAAAAACTTTTTGTATGGTTAAATGGTAAATACTCGGATGAGCAGAGTTACAACATTTATAAACGGACCAAACTAGGGCTGGCCAAAAAACCCGGATCCGAAGAACCAAACCGAACCCACTCCGAAAAAGTAGTATTGAATCCGAACCGAAATTATTTAATATCCGAATGGATTCAAAAATTTGGTATTTAAAGAACCGAAACCGAACCCGACCCGAACCGAAGTATTTCGGGTACCCGAATATATCCGAAAGAGATTTATATACCTATATATATTAATTATTTTAGATTTAATGTATGTAAAAAATCAATATATATATAAAATACTTTGAAGTTGTTCAGAATACTTGCAAATATATGTAAATCGTCAAACATACATGTCTAAAATTGCTAAAGTACATTCAAAACATCAAAAATACAATTATTGATTCACAATCCAAATATTCAAATCAAACTAATTTATATGTTAATTTTAGGTATTTTGACTTATGTTATTCAATTATTTGTAATATATTATTTTGTTTATAGATTTTTAGAAGTTTAAAGTATATAATCAATTTTAAAATTTTTAAAAAGAATTTAAATGGGTTATCTGAACCTGAACCGAACTCGCAAAGATCCGAACCGAACCCGAACCGAAATTTAGAAATATCCGAATGGGGCTAAAATTTGTGAACCCGAAAACCCGAAACCCGAAAAGATCCGAACCGGATCCGAATAGGTACCCGAATGCCCACCCCTAGACCAAACCCATTCTTTTTCACTTGATAGAGTCTACAGTAAAAAGATTTTAGCCCCAATGTATTTTTTAATTTATGACAGAGTAAAAAGTGGAATTATTATACATAGAGTAATTCATTTATTTTTCACTTATCATTCTATTTTTCACTACAAAATAGAGTACTATTAGAATAAAACTCAATTCTATTATAGAACAATTCTATTTTGAAGAAAATAGGAAATGAATTAGGCTTTGGTTCGGCTTCATTTTGATTTAGGATTTTTGGATTCATGAATTTCAACTCCATAAAATTTCAGGTCGAATTCGGTTCGAGTAACATGTCCAATATCTTGTTGAACCGAAATAGTTTTGGTTTCGGATACTAACCGGGGTCATCGGCTTTAAAAATATTAATTTTTACTTGATTACTCAATATATTTTGAATCATTTCAATAAATTTGTATATTTAGCTCCTTCAAACCATATTAATATCTTTCAAAATAATTTTATGAAACTCTTCTATCAACCATATAAGATTTGCCATTGACCTATATGTGACAACATTAAACATATCATGATTCATGACTAACCAAAATCTTGTTTGAACGAAAATCATACATAATAAAACATAAAAAAATTAAACTTAACAATTAGCAATTCTACAATTCTATATAAACGTAGAAAATACTATTTGAATTTAAAAGATGACATTGTTTAAACTTCACACCAATTTATTCGTAACTAAACTTCAAATGTAATGCAAACATAAAAAAATTAGTGTTAACCAACTATAATTTATACTAGACCAAGTATTTGAGTTAATTATTCATGTAATAACTAATTATTGTAGGTACTCAATGATATCTTTATAATTAAAACTAGTTAAATTAACTAAAAAGTATTCAAAATAAGAAATAAAATAAACTACAAACATCTTTAAATTCAAAAGTATTTATATTACCTTAATATAAATAAAAACATTAACATATTTAACTAATTCAGATATATTCGGATACTAATTCGGATTTTGGTTCAGTTCAGGTTGTATTTGAACCTGAAAGTACCAAGCTCTTAAGTCTCGTTCAGGTATACTTATATAACACTTTAGATGCAGTTTCGCTTATTTCAGTTTGAGTTAAAGTCGGGACTTTGGGTTAGGATAAAAACACCCAGATTTATTCAGCGGTTTGGCTGGTTTCTTCTCAAGCTCTGACTCCCGCTGATCAGGCTTCGACTCTGGCAAGCAGCGAATTCTTCAACGATGACTTGGCCGGCTCTTTTTCCGACAAGAGATGCTTCCTTCCCCTTGTGTTTTTTTTTGGCTGGCTCTGCCTCTGGCATGCGATGGCTTCCACAGCACCTTTCATTGGCGATTCCTTATCTTACTTTCATTGTTCATCTCCGATGCTGTTATTGTTTAGTACCAGTTTTCCAGTTTTATTTTCTAGACTTTTTCCTCCCTTGACTGTTAAAGTTCAGTCGCTGTTGATGTCTGTTCTAAACTCGAGCTTCCTGTTCCAATGTGTTACGATAGAGTGCTCGACGTCCGATGGGGATCTTGGAGCCACGGCGTCTCGGCTGCTGAGCTATATGTTTCTCTTTCGCTGAGGGTAAAGCACATGGCTTTGTGCTGTCTTGAAAATGCCTTTCCTTATTTGATAGTTTTTTGTTTTGTACCAGTCTTCGTTTCTCACTTTCTCTTTTAGACTTGCCTTTGGTGTGCTGCCTGTATTTTACTCATGTGTTATTTTTGTTGGTCATTTAGGTCTTTTATTAATAAAGAGATGACAAAAGAAATAATAAATACTCAGCTGACAATGATTTTCTGTAAATTCAAAAAAAAGAAAACTATAGAGTTTACAGTGAAGAAGTTGCTAGCTATATCACTAGTTACATGATCACAAACATTAATGTACTGTTAACTATATTATGATGCACATATCCATTTATATGTATCATATAGTTAACATTATAACATATTTAATGTTGTAAAATGGATCGGATTTTGAAATTCAAAAATTTAGTATTGTAAATTAGTTGAATCCAACAAAAAATTATAAGCATAGCCAATTTAACCAAACTAACTAAAATTTATTACAAATCGTACCCTTCTCCAAGCAATGGCCAGTGCTGGACACAGAACTCTATGCGATTAAATCACTTCAAGCAACTTTTTCTTCTTTTACTTTGAGCTTTATTTCACGATCTTTTAACTTCCGTGCGGACTTTCTTATGAAAGAGGCCTAATCACGAGACTTACACTACTCGTTTATAGTCGTCAAGGCTCCTGAACCGTTAGCCCCTGCAGCTAGCATGTTAGGACCAGTTTGATTTTGAAATGAAGCTTTTGATGACAAAGAAAACTAAAAGCTATTAGATCAATTAGATTAGATGAGTTAAATTAAAGTGAAAACAGTTTTCTTATTGGAAAAGCATTTCTAATATTGTTTTACTGGACTTAAGCCAATTCAACAAAAATATAGCTAATATATATTATACTATTATTTATGAAATAATTTTCTTGTTATAATTTTTCATGCTAAAATTTAGAATGGTTAAAATCATCATATCTTTAATAAATAGTTTAAATAATTTCTTATATAATCAGCAGTTATTTATTAACAACATATTAAAAATTCTTTATTAACACCTTAATATATTCAAGAAGCTTTTAGACTTGCCTGTCCAAAAATATTGCTAGGTTATAATATATTTATGAGGAATCATGGAATCTACAAGACATTATTTTCTTTTGAGCATAGGAAAAGTCATATATTTGCTTTTATAAACATCATCATCAGGCCCGGCCCTGAGGTGAAGCTGTAGAAGCATAGTCTCCCGGTCCGGCCCCAAGAGAAAACTATAAAAGTATAGGCTTCCGGTCTTAGAATATATATGTTTATTTCAGCCTATTTTTACCAGAAAATACTTTAGTGTAGTGGCTTAAATTGTATCTTAATATATATCCAGCAACCTGACTTCTAAAGTCTAGGTTAGCATCTAGCGGCTCTTTTATTTTAATTAGCTTGTGGTCTTTTATAAGTCAGGGTCGCTATTATTATATTAGTTTTCATAAGTCAATTCTATTTTTAAGAGTTTGTAACTATCCGTATAAACTAAATAATAAAAGGTTCACTTATATACACTACATGAAATGTGAATATTAATAGCGGCCAAAAAAATTACTATAAGTTAGGTATAATAATATTTCCTAAAACACTCTCACAATACCCGTTATAATAGGTGTGACACTTTTGATAGTGGATCTGGCGTATGCTATAGTTTAGTAAACAACGATAGCGCTGTTACCTAGCAACTGTTAATATTTATAATAACGCGTTATAATTGTTATTAATACTCATTAATCTGAATTTACCTATAGCAATTTCTTATACAAAGATAGCAAATGTTTCATGTTACTTAATTGTTTTTAATTATCCAAATATTTATTTAAATACAATTACAAATTGAATTTCTTTTTTTAAATG